CAAGCCTATGTCTGTCAAGAAAAAAACCCTGAATACTAAGCAAGCTTGTAAAGTATACATACTTCATCAGTATATCAGTCTTACATGGTCTGTATTGCAAAGACATATGGGAAAACTGGGATAGACAGAAAAAGAAGACTTGAAACATTGTTCCTTAAAAACATAGAATCCACAGAAATACTGGAAGTCATGATGTCAGTAGAGATGTGATTTCATAAAGTGGATGGGATACCTACTTAACAATTTATATTTGTCCAGAAACTGTTATTTCATAAATGTATCAAGCTAGACATCATAAAAGAAGCATTTAATTAGGAAAGTAGACTTTGTCTATTCCACATAAAGTTTATTTTGCCTTCCTTCAGCACTAGGAGTGCAAGACCATAAAATACATTAGAGCAAGAAATAAGTTGTGATTAGGGCTGGGGTGATGAACCCTTTCAGAATCTGTCCTCTTAGCATCTGCAGACTTCCTCTCATGCTCAGCCTGGTCCTGCAAAGTGAGCTGAGCCTAGAAGAACTCTGCAAACACTTGTGCCCCCCCCCACCTTGTAGAGTTGGCAGCCTTCCAAAGCAGGAGCTGCAGCAGGAAGTGGAGGAAGGGTGCTGAGAATGGTCATGGCAGCCACCATTCCCAGTGGCTAATCTTCCCTGCTCATGATGCTGGTGGCAGCAGCACATTCAGGAAATGGGTGCTGTGGGCAGGTATGCTAGGCATCATTCCTGGCAACAAACATTCTTCCTTACTTGATGTTGGCAGTAGCAGTGCAAGCAGGAAGATGTGCTGTGAGCAGGCATTCCCAATGACCAATCTTCCATCCTGCTCACTGCTTGGGCAACATGCAGGGCTATCAATTCCAGGTGCTGAATATTCTTGCCAAAACTCAGGTTCTGGGCCACTGCAAAGGAGACTAGAGTCCATGAAATCTGGCAGATCTCACCCCCAAATGTATTCCTCACATAGCCCCTGGTTGTGATGTTCTTATAGATAATCAGTACTCTAGTAGAAAAATGTGTCATCGGAGGTGGGAGTTATAAGATATTCTTTTCTTTCAGGTTTCTTTTTGTCCTCTTACAGTAAATACATATCCTGCTGTCTGAATTCTATACATCTTATTTATGATAAGGTTTTGGTAGTGGTACAAAGCAGTCCCAGTTTTTGGCAGGGAATCCAACAAGTCAAATTTTAGTTTTGTCTAGCTGTATCACATTTTAAAAGGCAGAGTCAGTGTCTTCACATTAACTTCTTTATGGTTTCTTTGACACACACACACACACACACACACACACACACACACGGGTTATGTGTCTGTGCAGACCAGTCATTTGGAATTTCCTAGAGCTCAACAGTTTTAGGCAAGACTCTCACTCACTTCCCCGTCCATGCTATTGGTATGTCACCCACCCACCTCTCAGTTTCTTCTGCTACAGCAGCTAGCAGCATTTGGATCATTCTCTCTCCTAGCAGCAAACATGGGCATGCACAGCACACACACACTCAAAATTTGGTTCTCTTTTTTTCTTGTCCCTTTGGGGTGAATGGTCTCCAAGACCTTTAAAAAAAATTGAAATCACTGTGATAGTAAGATACTGCTGACTAACAGATATGCTAGGTGCCCTTTCTGTCTTGAAGAGGCACATAGGGTGGACTTCTATATGCATTGTGTGTATTTACAAAACAGGCTGGAAGGTCTATGTCCTGTTGTTATTAGGATTATTCACTGCCTTGATGGCACCACCAAATACAAATAAAGATTCTTTTTCTGGGTTCACATGTCACAACAAGCAATCCTGGTTTGCACAGTTTGTGGGGAGGTCTGGATGTGGTTGATAGATGAGTAAATGGTTTCTACCCTCCTTGTTCAGTCCTCCTGTTATTGGAATATATCGTATTAGCCACTGCACCTGAAATTCAGTCCCACGCTAGATGGTGGGAGTGGTTTTTGCAGCTGGCACTCTTTCTACAAGTTTCTGTGGTAGCTGTATACCAGGACTGTAGAAGCTATGTTGCTGGTTTCAGTTGAACAGAGAAGCCATGGTGAAGCATGGAAACCATGGAACAGACCTTTTTTTTCTTTTCATGGTTTCTAAAAACCAAATGTACCATGCTGTGGAATACCACAATAGGATTGCCACTAGGATAGAGGTAACTAGTGGGGTGACACATAGCTCAGTCCTGCATCCAGTGCTCTTCAACATCTTTATTAATGATTTAGATGAGGAAGTACAAGGAAAGATAATTTCGATGACACAGAAGATCATCCTGTGCAAGAAACCAGCATGACTTACTGTGTTGTGTAACTCACCCTTTGTGTCACGGTTCCCATTGCCAGTATTCTTGTTCTCACCACTTTTTGGAATGAACTAAGGTAACCTCTAGCTGCACACTGCCATTTCACATGATAGTGATTGTCAGATACGCAGCTACCACAAATTAACATGGTACCAAACCTTATCAGTTTGCTCCTTACCCTTATGTTCCTGAAAAAAATCTTGCAACTAACTATTACGCAATTATCACTGGCAGTGCAAATTACCCAAATCACAACTGGCCCTTAACCTGTAAACAACAGTTAACAAATTTCTTTGGCATAGGATGACTATTGCTCAGAGGTGTCCTATACCTCATCTGTGCAGGATTCAGCCTTTTCCCTGGATGCTGCTACAAGAGAGCAAAACCTTCTAATCCAGTCGGATGAAATTAAGCATAAATTGAGCTCAGAATGGCAAAGTTGCTTGGACTAAAGATCACCCCCCACCCCACAAAAAAACCCCCTGGTCTTTAAAGGGTACAGCTAGGCTTGGCTTCACCAATTATTAACCTGACACTTCTGGGCTAAGCATTCTACTTTCCTACCGATGTTTAGAAAGACAAGCAACCTATAAAGTTTTCAGGAAGAGGCATGTTCCTCCTTAATCAAACACCCCACACTGAATTCCTTAAGTGTGGGAGCATCCAAATCAAAGACTAAAGAAAAGATCCACTCTGCCCCATCAAACTTAGAGGAAAGAAAATTAAACTTGATGGAGCACAGAATGTACCTAACTACAGTCCTAGTATCCTGTAGAGTGAAATATGAAGTGTCCATGATGATCTACAAATGGGGACAATTGACTAGAACCACAGTATCTTCTGCTGCTTTCCTAAGCAATAGTTCACTTCCAGAATTGTATAGAATAGTGACCTTGGCTCAACCTTATACTTTAATCAAACATTACTGCCTGTTTCAGCTTGTGCTAATACAGCTTTTGGCAGAGTAGTTTCTCTTTAATTCTGATCTTCTCTGATAAGTTTCTTGCTTCTCAGGCACCTACATGTGTGAGACACTGGATTGCAAATAACAGAGGACAGGTTGCTTGCTTGTAACTGTGGTTCTTAGAGTGACCATTCATGTTCTCATGGATTCTCATTGATCAAAATGTTTCTGATTTGAATGGTGCAGTGTTTTTAATAATATTAACTAGAGATATGAATGCTCAGAAACACTGAGGGGGCATTTCCAGAGGATCATTTTTGCTTTTTTCTGAAGGATTGACAAAACTTAACAGTTTTGGATTATGAAATACCTTATTTTAAAATTTACAGCAACATGCTTATATAACATGCTTGAGAGCCAGTGTGGTGTAGTGGTTAAGAGCATGGGACTGGGACTTAGGCCATCTAGTCCTGCTTGGCCATGGAACCAACTGGATGACTTTGGGCCAGTTACAGATTCTCAGCCCAACCTACCTCACAGGGTTGTCGTGTGGAGAAAATGGAGAGGAGGAAAATGATGTAAGCTGCTTTGAGTTCTTTGTAAGAAAAAAGTGGGACATACCCTTTACTGCTTCAAAAGATTAATAAAAACTATATAGTAAAAATACATGTATAGAAAGATCAGAGATATAAAGCATCTGGAATTACTGAAGCCATGATTAATTTTTTAATTAAACATAAATATTGTTTATTTATTTTTTAAAAAAATCCCATTCAAATTAAAATTTAATTTTGCTATCTTTTGTTGATAGACATTTAGGGATGATCCAAGTGATGGCCCAGTTTTATGACTTGTGAATAGAATCTCCATCATAATAATGTTTGGGTTTTGTTCTACAGAATCCTGTGTTTCTGGGCTTGTTCTGGTTAGATACTGTAGCAGTTAGTGCAGTTCTAATCTAAGACAAATGTGAAAAAACTGTCAGTTATTCCTCCACTGCTATTAGATGTTACAGTATAGCATCAGTTACCTTAACTGTTTCATTTTTTAAAATAAATTTTGAGGCTAGGACTATGGAACTCACTTCCATAGTTTTACAGTCTAAATCTCAATTAAACTTCACAACTAGGGAATGTTACCTCAGCTATAAAACTTCTTACTTCTGCAACTGAAATAAACAAGAGAAGTTTGTTCACACCACCTGATTGGGATGGTGGGGGTTGGACCTGATGGCCATCATGGCCTTTTCCAACTCTACTATTCTATGACTGTATTAATCGATAGTTCCCCGAACAAACAGGAACAGATGCAACATACTAGTCTTTATTTGCAGTTCTGCTTCTGTCTTCTGGAGTGATTCAAATGTTTCAGGAAGTACTTACAGAAGTTCTGTCTCATTACTCATAAAATAGGAACCTAAAATGTTTTGAATAACTTAGTTTGCCTATAAAATAATTATGTTTGGTATATTAAATTTAAAAGCATAATTTATTTAGACAATTAAAACTTTACTGAGTTTACTTAAAATAATGTTAATTTTGTGAACAAACCAAGAACATGAAACCTGTTCAGAGACATTTATGGAAAATTAAAGTGGAAGCAGGTGTAAGCTGTCACTAAGAAAATATAAACATACTTTGAAATTTTAAAAATGGGAAGAGTCTTGCTTGGTACAAATTTATTTTACTAATATTGATGCCTGTGGGCACTATGTTGCTTTTTTGTGGACAATATATACTGTAATTTTTGTTTAACTGCATTCCTGTTTTGAGCTCTTAAAATATATCATTTTCAAATTTTCAGGTCATCCAAGTCCCATCCTGGACCTGTTGTCCATATTAGTGACAATCCAATGGATGAAGGCAAAGTAAGTTAAAACTTGAAAAAATATAAATAAAAATAACTGGATATGGTTCTGTTGCTTATTAGTATCAAATTATTCCACTTATTCCTTTTTTGGATGTTTATTTTAATAGCCTGTTTTTAAAAATAAAGTAAAAAGGAATATTCAGTTATAGGTTTAACATTCTTGAGTTAGCCAAACATCCAGAGGCTGTTATTGGGAAGTATTTTTTAAAATTCATTTCATTGCTCATTTCATTCTCTATGTATAAATTTGTTTTCTGACAATAGGAACACATAAGTGCTTCATCCTGTTTCTTAAGTATTGCTCGTTCAAGCATTTATGCAAGCATAGATACTAGATACATGTTCAGCTGCACTAATAGTAGCTTATGACACACTACTCTTTCAAAAATATATCTATGGAACCTATACTCAGAGCCAAACTACTCACTTTACCTTTTTTTGAATCAATGCCACTGTTTCACCACTGCTTATACTCAGTGATACTCTTACATTGTAGACATTTTTTGTGTACAAGACTGATTTCTAATTTTTCATATTCACAGATTAAATAGAATTTAGTATTTCATAATAGTTTTTTTAGTAGGATTATTTTATAAATCTTAAACATTAGAAAATCCTCTCTGATATTCTGATACTATGATTAAAAGTGGATCTTGAATATATTTATGTACAAAGTAGGGTCTTATATAATACCTCTTAACAATTTTGGCTGGAGAGCTTACCAAGTTGACGAAGGTGATTGCCAAGCAACAGTGAACATTTTGTGAAGTATAGATATAATAGATTTCCTATGTTTTAATAATTCCACTTTGTAGATACAGTAAACATAAAAAATAAGTTATTTTGTGTTTTTTAGATTTACGGTGTTAAATAATGGTCTTCCAGTGCTGTAATTTATTACTCAAATACACTCTCACACATAATTTGCAAGTGGAACCAAAATGATTTCATATGAAAAACAAAGAATATTTGATTGTTTCATTTAATAAGAGTTTCTGCGTGCAGATAACACATTTTCATGTAGTTTCCCTCTCTTGAAAGTAACAGATGATTGGTAGAAAGGCATATGGTTCAAATGAATTATACCATTCAACCATTACTCATATTCTAGGTTGAATATTAACTATAATGTTGCATTCTGCTACTATTTTCTTGAATTCTGACTAATAGTTTCTATTATATTTACAAGTTGCTTAGTCATGGCAGTCTAGTTTTATATCTGACCTTCTTAAGACTGTAAAGAACTTAAATCTGCATAATGTTTAGCTTACAGGCTAAAAATAGCACTCTAGTCAAATCATTGCAGTTCAGATTAATAAAACAATGGCACAAAATAGGATTATTTTTCTGGAGCCTATTTAAATATACAGTAAAATACCTAATATAATCTATTATAGACCATACTACTTCATACCCAGCTGAAATATATTTATCTGAAAAAGCTGCCAGACCAGTTAATAGATCATTCGAAAGCAAGGCAGCTTCTGCCTTTAAGCTTACAATATAAAAAAGTACAACAGGAAAGAACAGAGAAAGGGATGGGTAGAGAAGAAGAAGAAAAAGAAGATGACCCAGGTGCCAATTCTTATAAATTTTTATAATGACCAGCTATGATGGAAATGAGTTGAAAGAACCCAAGGGATAAATCTGGATTTGCAGTAGATTGCCTGGAAAGGCCCAACCTCATATCATATTTGAATCTGAGATTGCTTGCATATGTAAAGCTTTTTCTTTTCATGTTTCCTATATTCTGGTTGGGTTTTTATGAATTGTTATATTCAGATACACAGTAGATTGAATTGGTATTGTACCTAGTAGTGCCTCTGAACATCTGAATTAGTTCTGAATCCTTTGTTTGCACATTTTGGCAGTGAATTACTATTTTAGGACAACATGCTACATTTTAAGCCATTTGTGAGATGAAGAGTAGCAGGTCAGTTCACCTGCTTCCAAAAGAAAAGGGGACAAACATTTTGAGGAAAGAATATTGGGAAAAATGATTTATTTTCCCAAATTTATTCATCAGTTTTTCAAGTGAGCTTTCCTCCAGGGTAACAATCAAATTTTGCATGAAAAGTTATTCTGTAAAGTACATGGCAATATGGTTTAACACAAGCTGTGAAGCTACTGAATGAGCTGAAAGGGCAGATGTATACCCTCTGCTTGCTTTTAATTTTATTTCATAGCCTTAAAACCTCTTAAATGTTCATTTGTGGTTGGATTTATACAGTTCTGACCTGCAAAACAACCCTTGAATGATTTGTTTGTGGTACAAATACAGTGTACTGAATAAGGCATTCATTGAGATTGGATATCCTGATCTTCATGCCTAATCTTTAACTGGTTGCTTTTAAGAATATACTGCAGGATATATATATATATTCTATATATCCGATATGTTTTCAGAACATTCAGCCAATTAATATGTCACAAATGCTAGTTTCAACATATTAAAGTTATATCATCCTTTTGGTGTGTAGGGTAGGACTGTCTAATCTTCAGAATTATGCTTATTTAGTCACTATGCCTGTGTAGCAAAACTTAAAATTGGCCCAGATGGGTTTTACATACTGGAAATAGCTTATGTTTTGTGAGCCGTCCCGAGGCTTCGGTTAATGGGACGGCATAGAAATTTTCTAAATAAATAAATAAATAAAAATATTGTTCGTACTGAAAAAAATAATATATTCTGTTATGTATTACAGCTTTTGCTTGGTTTTGAATCAGGAATAGTGGTATTATGGGACCTCAAATCCAAGAAAGCAGAATACAGATACACCCATGATGAGGTAATCAGAAATCATGTATCATACCAACTTTTATGGTATAGCTTTTAGAATTAATACAGTAACCTTAATACAATAACCTTTTGTTAATAAATAACTGCTGTTCATGTTAGTCTTGAATGGTAGAGCAAGTATACATATATAGATAGAGTAATCAGATTCCCACATTATTTGTTGTGCTGAAGCAGGACTTGAGAAGCTATACCAGTGCCCTAGTAACTGTTTTAGATTTACTGAATGACACAGGAATTTAGAAGTTAAGAGTTAAGTTCTGAGATAACTAAACTTCAGTGTCATTTATGTATTGGTATATGTATTGAATATTTATCTACTTCTACTCTTTAAGTGTTGGAGGATCCTAAAGGGACAAGAGGGGAATATTAGAGAGATGCCATAAGAGAATAGGAGAGATGCCTTAATCTTCTACAAAAATGGGAAGAAGTTGGGAAGAAAGATCTGCAATCCTTACCAGCCCTTCTAACCACCTTTAATTTGGGTTCTTACTCTGCTTTAGTATAAGCTTAAAGATCTGACTTCAAGAGTCTAAACATAATGAATGCAAATGTGGTTTGCTGCTATAAATAGTATAAATTCTGTGAGTGAAGCAAACATTGAAATACGTGTCAGATCCTTCTGTGTTTGAGTTGAACAGTTACTGGTTTGGGGCAGTAACAAGCTCAGCACATCTGCATTTTAAATTAAATGAATTTGTAAATATTTCATTTCTTAGTGTAAAGTACCCAGAAATATATTTGTATGAAGGGAGCACCAGCTAAATAAATAAATAAATATGGATAGTTTACTTCAAGTTCATGTGGGAAAGTTTTCAGTAGTCATATTACAATGCTGAGTTGTAGCTACCCCTGTAATTGCTTAATTCTTTTTCATCTTGCGGATTTACCTCAGAACTTGGGTATTGAGTGCCACTTCATACAGTACTGCTTGATGTTTGTAACAGCAAATCTGTAAGGGGAAGGTGTATGCAAGTGCAGGGATATGTACCTTTGAGTAAAACATGTCTTGGCAAATTTAAGATACAGTGGTTAAGAGTGTGGGACTGGGACTCAGGTGAGCTGGGTTCTAGTCTCCTCTCAGCCATGGAGCCAACTGGGTTACCTTGGGCCAGACTGAGTCTCTCAGCCCAACCTACTTGACAGGGTGTTGTGGGGATAAGTTTGAGGGCAGCAGGAGGAGAATGTGTGAATCGCTTTGAGTCTTTAAACAAGAAAAAAGGTGGGATATAAATCAAATAAATATTGTGATGCTGAATAACATACAATTAATATTTGATAGTTTATATTTGAGTCTTCTACAAGCCCTCAGTGAAGCTATTTAACTATAGTATTTCAACATTTATACTAATGATAATTAGAAACCTGAAGTCTATATGGGAGATTTGGATATGGGGGGAATGGGAAAACAGAAGGAAATGCTACATCAATCCTTAATCACTGCTTTATCCTATAAGCTTAATTGATACATGAACAATTTCACTTAATTCTGAACAAAAGGTGGAAGGGATGTGTTGTTTTTGCAATGCTTAAACTTAGCTTTAGAAAGGAATTGTACTTGCTTCAACTGTAAGAGGAAACTATGTTCTTTCTTCTTGGCATAATCTAGAAGAATGAGTACTGCCAACCTCAAGAATTCAGTGTGCCTGCTCGTGATCTAGCTCTCCATTGCTCTCTCACACACACTGTTTTAGTGTCCATGAAAAGAAGTTTTAATCTTAAAATAGCCATAGTTCATTTGAAGACTGAAGTTGAAAAAACGAATTTATCACTGTGGTTAGTAAGAACAAGCCAGGATCTGAAGCCTTATTTTAAGACTGCATAAGAAATTGTGACTTGTTTGACATAAACAGGAGTGCATTTGCTTTCCTTCGGGCCACAAGAGGAAGAGAAGAAAGAGGGTACAAGCCCAAGGAGCACCATGGCTTAGTCTTATACATGACTTGCACTTTAGGCTCAACAGTTTAAAATTGCAATAGCACAAGCATATTCTAGTTGTTTGTGCTCTCTTAGTGTTCAGTAAATCATATTTCAGTAGTATAGTGGATCAGCTGGTTCAAAGCTTAATCCCTTAGCTTTGCTTTTATTGGTCTGAGATTCCTGCAATTGTGTGATAATATCAGAAAAGTTTTAAACTAAAATTCCTTCTGTTGATTTCTTTTGTCCGTTGAAGACAAAAGATGGAGCTGTAGTCCATGTCTACGTATGAATTGTTTCAGTTCTTCTCTTCTTATTTTTAATAGTGGCATTAGAACTTCAGATGAGTAGCTATAAATTGAAAGTTTAGAAAGGACAGACATTTTAACCAAAGACCTTTTACCCATTTATGGTATATAAAGACCTGAATACTCTTGAATTATTTTTAAACATTTTCCATATATAAGAAAATTAATATTAACAAAACTAATCTGGTTATATATCCTGACAAAAACTAATAGAATAATATTTTTCTAATTTTTTTAATCTTTGTTGGATTTTACTTTGGGCGAAATAATGTAGCAAGAAGAATCCATTTTTCAAAAGAAGAATGTCAAATTGAAATGCCTAGCTGAATGAAAATACATTTTTTCCTTGTGCCAAAATACTGAAAAATTGGCAGCATGTAAATTTCAGTCTAGAGAGAATGTTCAGTTGCCAACAACTCATGGCTGAAAAAGCCATCTTTCTTTTTGCTGAATACTGTATTTCCAGTAAAGTAGGTGCCTGAAAAAACCATTAGGAGAAGACTTTAGGAGAAGGCCTCAAAACATGGCGAGAATGATAAGGGAAAAATGACTTATATGACATATGATTATACTAATAAGGAATGTAGTGACAGCATACTGCACTGACTGAAGCTTCCACATATTATTTACTTTATTTAAAATATTTCTGAATTCCCCATTCACCTAAAGTGGGCTTAAAGTGATTTACAATAAAACAAAAAGCACAGTAAAATACAAGTTGAAACAAAATTAGCAGCTGATAAAATACATTAGAATAAAATAAGGACATGTTCTGGAATCAAAGAACAGCCTTAGTTTGTAAAAGTTCAGTGAAATTTTACATTTCTTATTAGCCATATGAATATCAACAATGAGGAAATGTCCCTGGAAAGGGAGTTCTGCAACAGGATTGCAGCTACGCAAAAGTAGTCTTTCAGGGCAGTAGCACACTGCAGTAAACTAACTCAGGAGGTTACCAGAGGATGAATTGCCATGGCCACAGTTTATACTGGGATCAAGAATTTCATTTTTCATCAACACCTTAGACCTCCTTACTGCAAATAGCATTTCAAGCATCAGTATTTACACTGTAACATTTGTAATGAAGACTGATGTGAAGAATTTACTGGGGTTCTCTGCAATATCCTTAGCTTCCTGTAGTACTATTTTAACTTATTGTCATCCTTTGGACCCTAGCTGGTTTGTACTTCTTATGTTTTTAAAGAGGTTCTTATTGTTGCATCTAATGTTAGTGATATATTTCTCAGAAATCCCTTTGCATCCCCCTTTTGTTTGCCTTTTTGCACACAAAAAAATATGTGCCTTATTGCATTTTTTTTGTATTCATTTATTTATAAAATTTGTATGTCCAATTACTAACGTCTCTGGACAGCTAACAGCATAAATAAATTGACGACTCAATCTGCCTGCAATTAATAAAATACAATAATAAAATTTGATATTAAAGCTTATTAAAATATTGATTAAATAAAAAGGTCTTAACCTGGCACCGAGAAACATATAATGACGTATTCTCTAAAGCAAGTATTATTTTTCTCCAAAAGCTTCATTGATGCTACTTATTAACGATAACTGCTTAAGCTGTTACAGATTTGGCTTTTGCAAAGTGTTTTCATACTAGTAATTCTAGTATTTAGGAAGCCTTTGGCTGCCAATTAACTACCTATAGTCAAGTCTTATCGTATTTAGCTATAAGCCATTACAACATTTGCAAAAGACATAGTGAAAAATTAAGAAAATTAATCGCTGACAGATATTAAAATAGAAAAAATATATAAGTAAAATAAAAACTAGTTTAATTGCTATAAATTAGTTACCCCCTTCAGTGCTACCTTCGATCTAATCTTCACAGCTGCTAAAGCAAATAGAGACACTTTATACGATATGTAAACATCATTATCTGATAATATAAATACAATTTTCTCTGATTCTGAGTATGTATCAATGGCAGATAAAATTCTACCTCAAATTTTATATCTTACATTTCCGTACAGCAGACAGGGTATCATGCAATAAGGAAGATTTTCTGCTACAGAAGAATCACAAATACATAGACAATGTTCTGTTGGAGTGTGTGAATATTGACCCATCAAAAGGATTGTTTGCATAGTTTGAAAATGCAAAGAAGTGAAGGAGCTTATAATTGGGGATAATGGTTGAACAGCAAGATCTAGAGTGATCAAATTTGATGAATTTACACCAAGGAGCTGCTTTAGATTTTAAAATTATAGATCAATCTAGCAGTGCACTTCAGACAAAGCAAATATCAATTTCCTTAGGTGGGCTCAATTTTGGTTTTGAACCAACAATAATAAGTAATGGTTCAAAAATCCCTTTTTCATTTTATTGCAAATATACTTGTAGCATCGTATCAAAATATAAATTATATAAAGCACTATATATTGTTAGACTTCTAGCCCTAATACCTTAAAATTAAAGATCTCATCATAAGTACCAAGTTCCCTATTACATTCTTATATGAGCTGTGTAGCTGGGGAGTGCCCAAGCCTGGTGAGCTTCTGACAAGAAGGCCCACAATCTAAAATCGCACATGTTTATAATATTTGTGTAAATTACTTATAGTTAATATCTACTGTCCTGTAAATTAGGGCTCACAGTTTTAGATATCTCATTGTTATTAAACATTCCTTTAAATAAATAGAAGATACCAAATGGATTATGCATACAACTTCAGGCTAGGTATAATCAATTTTGAATTGTACATTAGAGAAAACTTCTTATTCAAAACATGCCAATTAAACCTAAG